CCAACCCAACTGGACTTAACCGGACCTGACGGGTTGGCCCAGGTTGTTTTCCAGGTTTTGTCACATTTTCTGGACAATCAATTTGAATTTCTTGGTTGAACGTGTCTTTCAGGACGGGTAAGGACACAAAACAACAAAAACCTCATCATGTTTGTTGCTTGATTAGAAAAAAAACGGGCTCTGTTGGACTTGGACAGAAGTTTGCAATCCAAGCCACACTTTACTGTAAAAAGAAAAATGAAATGCTAACTGGATGTGTGGTCTGGTTTTAATTCTGCATATCAATTAAAGGACTTATATTGTTTGGGTTACATTAAGGAAATGGGATTATGAAGAACTGATCCATTTTTTTTCGATGAGACAGAAATCTGCACTGTCAATATAACAGTAACATGAGGTTGAATTGCAATGCATTGGCACAAAAAAAGATAAGTGGCCAGGTTTTTTTTCTTAATTTAAGGCTTTTTTGTGGAGATAGTATTCTATGATTTTATTAAAAGGAAAAAACACGATAATTTACGACCAAGAATTCAGTGAGCTAGCTACGATGTAAGGTTCTGACCAAATAGTTCAGTGTCTTGCACAGTGACATTTGGACAATTTTCACCATGTTCAGAGCCACAGCTGCCCTGTAATGGAAAGTATGCAGTTGAGCGCAAACAGGAAATGAGAGAAAGGAATAAGGTAATGACTCATTTTTAAAAATCTTGCCCACCTGTGGCCCCCAAGTCAAGATTATGTTTTTGTATTTTTTTGCTTTAATACGTATTAGGGCCATAGCACTGGTTTCCATTTAATGAATAAAGAGGCAACTAACACTGCACAACACTGACATGCAGAAATGCCTACTTTATGTTGGAGAGTGTAATAAGAAGCTTTTCATGTAAACTCACTACTCAAGCTTACATGGCCGAGGTTTGAGGCGTTGGTGATAGGAACCTCATGACAACCTTGATCGCAGTGTTTATCTTTTAAATTCAATATAATTATTTTCCATTTCTAAGTTTTTACACTCTTAGTTTAACAGACTGACAGAGATTCCCTGGCCCTTATCGACTGCAGTGGCAAGAAGTCCTTAAGTACCTGCACAAAGGAAATTAGTTTGGATTAATCCTAAGAATCTGTAAATTCTCAGGACAATGACTCATCGGCTCTTTCGGACATTATAGTTAATGTCTAGAACATTTAAGGGACATGGAGAATAATATACAGTAATTGGTGATGGTTCCCATTTTCTTGTACTATCCAGAGAAAAGCACAGGCTCACACTGTGTAAAAGAAATAGATATAAACATTCTTTTTTTCATAGTCTATTTGAATGATGAATAATGTAGCTCTGAGTGAAGATGATTTTTTGAAACATGTCTTGAGGTTCCTGTGTTGTTGTCGTCCAACAAAGTTTTGCAAAATTGTGCAGTAAACTCATTAATGGCAACATTTCTGAGGAGACACTGAAACACGACCCGTATCATGAATGTTTGGTGAAATGATCTCTTGTTTGTGGACAGTGACACTTTGGTGTTTTTCTAAAAGTGTGGCGTCTCCGCAACACTCAGATTTTGCACGGCGGAGTTTCACATTGTGGACAACGATCAGATGAGTCATATTGTCACTTCACTGCACTAAAGAATGAGGAGGGAGCGGAAAGAGAGACAGAGAATGAAGGATAAACATATTTTGCCATCCTTGATGATAACATTAATGTCAAGGTGGAAGGGGGAAGGAAGACATCACAGCTAATGAATATTAATGTATGCCCACAGTAAAATGCTGTTTTAGATTGAAGTGAGACAGAATGGCCTCATGAAGACAGCACTTTAGGGCCCACTCTTGCACACACTGTGGGTCTATGAATATTCATTGTTCATTGTCCCAAAAACAATTTCCTTGACGCTGAATATTCCTTTTCATGCGTAAAATATGCGTAAAGATTTTGCCCATGCATGGCTTGGCGTATAATGCTATCTAACCTTACATTTGATAATTCTGTGACTAGATAATGTTTTTCTGTACAACAAAGTGTAGTTCCACTGAGTAAAAAAACTAAATGTTATTTGCCATAAAGAAAATTTGCATGACATTCCCACTGAATTTATGGTTTTAACAGTTCAGTTGATGCATTGTTGTTGCGGGATGCGTCACCGGCTGCAGCGCGGTGCAGATGTTATCTCATGCCATATTTGGTTTTGAGGACATGAGCGTGTTCAGGTGGCAGGGTCTATAACCTCATCATATGCCAGACAGCATGATGTCCTTGGGCATATTTCACAACATGCTACATTAGCCTACCCTCGGCCCAACTGTGCCATGCATTTGTCAAAGTGTCCCCGTAGCCACAGCCGGAGTTGTTTAAAAGGCTTTTATGTCATGCCCCCCCGTGTGAAAAATTGAGAGTACGGTGTGAATCTTGAATTGGAAAAAAACCCAGTCTAAACAGGGACAAAAAGTGTGAGATAAAGCTAAACTGTCAGAAGCTAAAAAAAATGCATTTCCAGGTCAGGAGATGTGGTGTTGCTATGGTTACTTGTATCACAGCTCCTCCTAAAGTAGAAACTGGCTGATGAGTGAATGGAGCTTCGATGTCTTTACATAGTGAGGTCTGTGATATAGTCTGATGTAAAGTGGTGCATTACATATTGTATGTTTTTTGTGTGTGAGTGCATGTGTCCTTTTTCTCGCAGACAGCGCTAAAAAAGACAAATAAGGAAAGTCTCATTTTAAACTGCTCCTTGTGAATCACACATTTCCTGCTTTGAAAAACGATTCCATTTTTATTCCAACCAACATTTTTTCATTTTATTTTATTATTTATTATATTGTATTATTTAAGACATGAAATATTTCAACACTCTTTCCAGATCCACCACTTATTCTGCTCAGCAGGGTGAACTGGTGGTTGCAGACCTTCCTATGACCTCAGGGTAACAGATTTAATATTTTCAAAACCCACTTTGTGTCCAAAAAAAAAAAAAAAAAGGCAGTGTGTAGGTGACCTTCAGCGTGACAGTAAACCATTTAACCACTTTATGCATTGTACACCACTCTGTGTTAGCATCAGCAGAATGCCTTAAACCTAAAAGGAGATTTTCCTGGGGAATTATGCAAAAATGTGCACATATTTTCATTATTCCGAATAATAATTGTTAGAATTATAATCTCCTGTGCCCTCCAACGTCTCCCCCTCCGTCCCCATAGCTCTCATTAACGACTCCCTGCTAAAAGTCCTGCAGGGAGAAGTATGCACAATTCCTGGCCCCTTCTTCGGGCCCTGTGTCCAACGCTGGAGAGCCTTAACAGACTGAAAGACATAAGTCCTGTGAAGTACAGGCTACCGCTGTGTTCCATTAACCTGGGCCTGAGGAAAGTGCCGTACCCGCAGACACGTGTTTTGTATAGAGGTTTATTGCAGTTGTGTCACATGTGCAGTAACCTTGGAGACAGCAAAAAGGCATGAAAAGGGAGAAGTTGGAGAGGTAGCTACATAGATTCAGGATTAGTAATACTCTCAGGATAGGTGGGTTTTCTGTTTCATTCCCTTCTAATTTTTAGTCTAACACAAACTGCATGCACTGAAGAGCTGTTTTAGCATCTTAAATTTCATGCTGCTTATAGGCAACATTCACACTATTTCAACACAATTAGAAAAGATAGACCAGGGTCACACATTCTTCACAGTGGTTAAAAGCAATGTTTGCATGGCGGTCGCATGTAAATGGCAAAGTTGCTTCAATTTGTTTCCAGCCCTCTTTTAAATTAAAGTGAGATGTATACAACATTTTTGTCCCGTGGGCTACATGCTTCACATTTGGTCTTCGCTCCCTTGACATTAGGTTTGTGACATGCTCAATCTCTTATTTTTAAAATGTGCTGTAAAAAACTTAAAGGGAATTTTGTACAGCTAAAAAGTACTCAAGTTGTACACAAGGCAATGTATGGAACATATGCTGTAAAAAAAATCCCTATTAAATGATATTAAAAGGAATGCAAGGGGCTTTTCTTTCAAATATTTATATCGGACAGAGTTTTTTGGCACTGTCCAAAAGCTGTCCAGAAATTGTCATTTGCAAGTTAAAACACTGGACAAAAATCTTAAGAAGCTGTTGTGTCATGATTGTGTTGTTCTTGGGGGCTTTGTAACTTTTCATTTCAGTTTTCAAACCTGTGATATTATAAAGGTCTTTGTTAAGTGCATAAAAAGATTGATGTTATAAGGCTGTTTTATTTTTCAGTTGTTTTTCTTGTTTGATTTGGGTTAGTGATGTTTTAAGAAATAAGGTCGGTGGTAATGTGGTGCAAACATTTCCCTTCTCTGACAGACCTTCCTCAAAACCACATTTGTGCAGAGCAGTTTGAAAGTCTCAGGTGATGGAGCTATACATGGGCTATACAAGAATATAATGGGAATTGAAGTACACAAGTATGAAGTACTACAACACCGAATATGCTATATATGGTATTTGTCAGCAGTGTGTGTGTGGTATGAGTCAAAATCAGGCTGCTGGCAGGCTCTCACTGTGTTGGTGATGGTAATAGTTTGCCAGAGCCTTGGGGGAGCTGCTCAGCAGGCGAAGCTTTGTGTGTGTGTGTGTGTGTGTGTGTGTGTGTGTGTGTGTGTGTGTGTGTGTGTGTGTGTGTGTCTTCATGCACATATCAGCAGGGAAGCACAGAGTAGGCCCCACAATGCATGTTTCAACAGCCAAGTCATCAAATCTTTTAATCCAGCCCAGCGTGGTGTTTGTGTTATTGTTTTTGACAGTGCGTGAGTGTGTAAGAATGAAGAGGAACTGCCATAAAGTTGGTTATGTTGAACCCTGAGGCCAAGCAACTGTCCAGCAATATTTCTTTGTGTTCTAGACTTGTACAGGTATTGTATTGTATGAGTCGGCTGTTTAAGTTCTTTTTTTTCTGAGTCATGTTGAGTCTGTCAAGTTGAATTTGAAGATATTCCCTGATGTGTCTAATGTCTCCCCCTCTATCCTCTTTTCTCTCTCCCCCTGCAGGACCAATGTCATAGGATGAACACTGCTGGTGGGGTGTGTCTGTCTGTGCTGTCCTCTCTCCTGGCCGTGGCTGGGGCTCTGGCTGCCGTGTCTGCCCTCGCTCTAGCTCCTCTCTCTGCCCTGGCTGACGCTGCCTATGGGGCTGCCGATGGCATCCCCAGCACCGGGGCAGAGGGGGCCCCCTCACCCGTCTCCACAACATGCTCCAGCCTTGTAGCTGGGGTGCTCTATGGGTCTTTCTCCCTACGGGAGCTGTTTCCCTCCAGGGCACCGGGCTGTTCCTGGTCCCTGGAAAACCCAGATCCCACCAAGTACTCCCTCTACCTCCGCTTCACCCGTCACCCTGTCATCTGTCGGACACACTCCCCCATGCTCCTCTCCCTCGATCACCATCTAGCAAATCAAAGCTGTCCCCTACATTTACAGTCGGACGCTGCCAGGGATCAGGAGGTCATTAACCTCTGTGGCAGCCAATCTAACTCAGATGGACCTTACTCCTTCTTACAGTTTGATAAAAACTTTGTCCAATTATGTCTCACGAGACACCCAGCTGCTGATGAGCCTCAGGTAACCAAGGAATTGCTGGAGCTGAGACTGGTGGAGGTGTTGCTCATTAATAACGAGAACTCCAGTCAGTTTACCTGTGGCGTGCTCTGCCGATGGTTTGAGGAGTGTTTACGCACAGGACACAATGGAGATCAGGAGGCTTCTGACGCGGATGGTTGCGGGATGACCCAGACAGGATGTATCTGTCCAAACCACAACATCATGGCACCACCTGTTCCGCTGATCCCGGAGACGCCCCACAGCTTCAGCAATGGTTCGCTGGTTCCAGATGACTGCTGTGTCACTGAGCTGCATTCCAATGATGCGATCGCTATAGCACCCAGAGATGTCCGACAAGGTAGGACTCTGTTTCTGTGAAATAATGAGATGGCGGTTCAGTGCTGCTGTTGCCATTTTCAGTGCATTACACATGAGCACACGTCTGCACAGAGATGATTATTTATGCCCTTTAAGACAAGATGTCATATCACAAATTGCACATGGTAGCTTATATATTCTTCAAACCCCAAATATCAACTGTTGTGTCTTTGTGTACAGAGCTCATGATATACGCAAATCAACACTGCGATTATGTCCTGTTGGTTTGGCCTTTAATACCACCTCAGTGATGTGGTATGTCTCTGCTTGACAGAGAATTTGTTATTTGAATTATGTCTTTGGTGCATTGGCCTTTAATTAAAAAAATGAAGCAGTTCAAAGGGGGCCTTTTAAACCTCCCTTGTGATCTATATTTTAGAGGCGTCCCCATGTGGCCAAGAGGTGTGGCTCTCACCTGAGACTCCAGTTTACATGCTGCCCATTATTGTGTGTGTGTGTGTGTGTGTGTGTGTGTGTGTGTGTGTGTGTGTGTGTGTGTGTGTGTGAAACCACCCTCTGTTCGGACAAGATCAGATTTGACTCCCATGCGCAGAAACATGCACATGGTCATCCATTAGTCAACGAATGAAAAGCACAGGAAGTGTACAAGCCATAAGCAAATATAAAACATGGGGATATGTATGCATCCGCATATATCTATATGTGCCTGTAAGTGAACCAGTTAAAGGGACAGTTTAACCAAGAAATGAAAATTCACTCATTATCCACTCACCACTGTGCCAATGGAAGGGTGGGTGATGTGTTTGAGTCCACAAAACACTTTTGGAATTTCAGGGGCAAATATTGTTGTAGCCAAATCTAATACAATTAATGAAATTAGTGAACTGTTTTCAGAGATAAAAAAAAAATACATGCCTCCATACTGCTCGTGTGTTGTCGTACGAGTGTCTGGAAGCCCTGACATTCAAATTTGATTCGAAACTGTGTCATGTACACCATGTTTTTAGCCTAAATGTCCACTGATATATTCATTACTGGGTAAAATATCCCTTTATCCAAACCGAATCGGCTCATTCTGCTTTATTAATCGCTGCAGTCGAATGACGGAGTGACCATAGAGATGCAGAGAGACACTGCAGTTTGTCTTCTAGTTCACAGATTACATAATGAGCTTCCTTTAGGTGGCTTATAGGCATGTTTCCAGAGTGAACACTACTAATTAGAGCCCAGTTATTCTTACTGCAAGACTTGGACTGCCTTCAACAACTCACTAACACACATCGTGAGAGCTCTGGGGAGAGAGCTCTTACCTTGCTGACGGGGAGGTTATCGTACTCTGGATTCAATCAGTGGGGGTGAGGGGGATTTATCATCTAATATACACAGACAGAGAGGGACAGAGGAAGAGACGTCACATAGGGGGATCTGGTTGGTTTTTGCTGCAGATGGTGCAGCTCTGAAAACTGACCTCACATGTTGATGTGAGGTTAAATTCAGAGATGCTAATTGCCTGGAAGGTCTGTTGGTTTTTCTTTGTCTCACCTCGAATGCCTTATGTATCAGCAGTGGGTCAGGCTATGAGAAGTCACTAAGATGTGAACCACAGAGAGGCGGTGATGTGGGCAAGCCTTTGTGCGTGGAAAACGGTTTTCTTCCAAACAATTCCCCTACGTCCTAATTACTTAAAAATATCCAGATGAATGTAAACCCGACACTGAGTCTTGCCACTTCCATGTTTGCTTCACTGTCTCTGCTCAAACACACAGACACAAATCAACAGCAAAGCTCCAATGATTCTTGCAATGTGACTTAAATGTCCACTGAAGCTTCTGCTGCACAGATGAGATGAGAACTGCAGCAGAGAAAAACAATGAGAGAAGCAATTAGACTGAACACTCTTCAAATGACCGGACAAACATTACTGTCATGCTTCCATCATGTTGTATCCATGTTTTCAAGTGTTTGAGGCTTCACTGGTTCATCTGGTTGCCCCCTCTTCTTTCACTTCTGCAATAGTTTAATGCCCCCGACTGGAAGATTAGCCCCTCCAGCAGTTCATCAAGAAGAACCAATTCCTAATATTCACAATACAGTCATGGATTGAAATAGTTTTTTCTGCAATTGGTGGAAATGTGGTTTAATTTGTGCAACATTTTGAAATTAAGCTTATGACTTTAGACAGGGTCATCCACCAATCACAGGGTTTGTATGGTAGCTCATTTCCATTCGTGTGTACGTGGGTGTGGGCATGCGTGTGTGTTGTCCAGGTGAGGACATGTTTAAAGGTTAGGTTGGTTGGGTGAGGTTAAAGTTATAGGTTTAGGGTTGTGGACAGAAGTCCAATGTCCTCAGACACGACCCTGTGTCAGTGAATACATTTTGAACTGCTTTGGATGAACATGCTGTGTGAATGCAGCTATTTTTTCTTGAATTTTTCTGAATGTGGCTATTGAGATTTTAATTTTAAAAAAGCACTTGTTACAGAAATCTGAACAGCAGTACAAAAGACGTCACCAGCATCCTTCAACAAGAAGCAATTTCATCTTATCTTGTTGTTCTCACATTGAGTTTTCAAAACTTAATTCATATGTTCTCAATGAATTGTGTCCTTGTATAATTTTTTCAACTATTGGACAAGCTCATTAGAAGAAAAAGTCCTACAGATAGTTATTGTTACACTGATAGAACATCTTGTTCAGTCTAATGAGCATTATCACATCATTATCATCCCAGTTTCTTTAATTCCAGTGTTTAGATCATAACACACAGTACTTCTATTGTTTTCTGAAGATACTAATTATACAAAATCAATCCATACAAATAGAAATTGGCAAATAATTAACTTAGATTGTATCAGGAAAGGTAATTTGCCTCGAAATTAGAGTGAGTGAAAACAAAGAAGATAGAAAAACGCAATCACATTAACAGAAAAATTAATTAATTTTTTTTTAGCCCCCTGTTGCGAATGTAGCCCTGATGGTCTATTATAGTGTAGATATTTATATATCATTTCTGGTTTGGCCAAACCCTCAGTGGCTCTTGTCTTCCTGAGACTGAGGAGCTTTGAAAAATATACTGTATTGTATTGAATTGGTAAAAATGACCAAATTATACTTAGCATGGTATTGAGGTGACCTTTAGGGTTGTCTGTGCCAGTGGAATCTGTTGATAATAGAGGGGATATAGTCTGTGTTTGTCCTTCATTCTCCCAGAAAGAGGAGAGTGAAATGATTGAAAAAAAAAAAAAATCTTAGTGAAGAAATTCACTGTGGACTCTGTAGTCCGACATAATATTAGCACTCGATATGACCCAAAGAGGTCCTGGGTCTTTGTCCATCAAATCTGTAAATGTATGACTTTATGACACTGAACAAATTTGAACCATATATCTATGTAAAACACAGTTTAAAAATATATTGTCTTATTTCCATATAAATTGGGTATTAGGTGCAATGCAAGCTGAGTTATGCAATCTAAAACAAGTTTGCTGTTTCCGTTTATTTGCTTAGCGCAGGTATATATCACTGGTTTCATTCAGCACTGACTGACGTCGCTTACGGGAGACTTGATATAAAGATGCTGTTGTTGAGAGGAAACACTCATACAGCACGTTTGATTTTAGGCTTTTCAGCTACTAGAGGAATCTTTTTAATCCTCGCACATGACCTGCAATGCATAAATCAACATAGATCAACATTCATACACTGGAGCGTTTGCATCTTCCCTGCTCGTCATGCAAATCTTAAAAAAAGCTGCGCAGGCAGGCGCAGGAACGTTCAGCTTTTGAGCTCCTGTGACTAAATGCCAGGTCTATTGGGAAAAAGAAGAGGAAAAAAAAAAAGGGATCCCCTGGTTCTCCCAGCAGCCATAAGTGACGTTGAATGTGATGCAGCAACAATAAACATACGTGCGTGTGTATAACTCTGTCATTTTATTCATTTTCATTCCACTACTTTTCCCTCCCATCCTCCATGAAAAGCGTGCTGTGCTTCTCAGCCCAGAATAACAAGTCACGACCGATTCAACTGGTGGTTGATTCCCCACTAAACAATTTTGACTGACTGGAAAATTACCTAACTGTAGAAACACACACAGCTCATACTCATAACCGTGATACATTGTGCTGATGCTTATTTACCCAGTTTATTAAACCGAGAGCCTTCACATGCTCCTGATGACAAGAGTCTGTCTGACAGCGATTATAAGCCTCTTCAGAAATTGTCGTGAGGCTCCTCTCAATTTTCTTATCTTTCCTGGAGCTGAAAAATCCCCCATTCTCTCGTTCTTTCTTTTATCACTGTCCTGAAAGCGACAGATGCAAGTGAACTGTGCCGATCCCATCTGTGTGAAGAAATGTGACCGAAACGTGGTTCACGTTCTAAACTGCAAGACAGCCATGCATTGTTTTACGCATTTTTCCTCACACTAATAGACTGCAGTATGAGATAAGACACACACACACACACACAAATACTGGTGAATGCCTTCCGTTAGGAGACAATAAGTGCAATCAGCGGCAGATTTGCAATATGCTCTTTATTTGTCAGTGTGTATAAATGTCAGGGTATGTGTGCTCTTTGTAGCTACTCTTATCAAACTGTTGTAATGTACTTGAGTAGCACATTATATGCTACGTGCTCGTACTTAAGTAAACAACAGTTAGACGAAGGAGCCTCTATATGAATATCTGATGTGCACACATGGAAACAAGTTATGGTTCAGAATGATAGAATCAGTAACAGGGTTGAGATGGTGCTTTATTAAGGGACAGCTGTACTGTCTATTCATATACGTACATCATTACATACCAGTGGGTAAACACAGCATACTACCAATAATATTTTCCATTCATTCATCCATTATCGATACTGCTTATCCAGTAAAGGTAACAAT